CGGGCACTGCACTAGTTAAATCAATAAATAACATTCATTTAATTATTTTCTGTGCTTGTAAAAACAATCAATAATACTTCTTGATAAATAATAGATTATGAAAGTGTTTTGTAATTGAAATAGGCTACTATTCACTTATTACTAAATATTTCAAAGCAAACTTCAACAGCATCTGAAAGAGAGCACATTCGAATCGCCAGCTCTGCTTTATTTTGTAGCTACATGGCCACACAAACCCACACAGACTCCTCCAGTTAAGATTAGAAAGTGATGCACGCATTTAACTTATCAGTGACATAAACATTTGCAGACATAAGTCAGAAAAAGAAAATAGAACTGGCGTGCTCAGCCAATCAGCTTTTGACAGCAGACACACCGATTTGTTTTTCTGGCCACCACAATTTCCATTTAACTGACCTCTGCTAGAGGAACAGTGAACCGTTTTAGAGACAAAATGATTAATTATTAGTAAGTTGACATAAAATTCAGATGTAACTATTTTGATGAATTGATGATTACTTGTTTAAATGATCCAGTGAGTAACATTTAGGAGAATCTATTGGCAGGAATTGAATATTAATAGTATGTTTTTATTAGTGTATAATCACACCAATCAGCCATTTTAAAAAAACATTTTATAGACCAAGCCATTAGTCAAAATAACAATAATAATATTAATAATGAAGGCAGTATAAAGTATATCTAATCTAATCTAAAAAGCCTTGGATTTACCTGAGTCAATATGTAACTTCTTTGGGCTTCCTCCATGACTACCAGACTTGCATTGATGTAGTCATTTTCTGTGTTTTCCAGCTTCACCCGACTGTGATCAACTGCAGGCGGCATGAGAGAGAAAATTAATTTGGGATGTTGTAAATTGACAGAGTTGGAGAGTTTAAGAGACACAGACTGCACAAATGTTCACCTACATGGACTGACGTCTCTGTATCTGTTTCTGTTGCGATTCTCTGGATACTTTGCCACTTTGTAGGAGCACTCGTGGGACTGATTCCTGATTTCCTGAAGACAATACAAGGATTGTTTAGGGAGGAGAAATCAACAGACAAACACTACAGCCCACCACTATTTCAGCACAGCAGGCAGAAAACCAAAGACATCCTATCTGCAATGTGTTTGCCCAATAACTAGTGTACAAACCACAGCTGCTCTCAGCGCTGCTGCGAAGGGTAAACGTTTAGGCTGTGTTATAAAAGTCAAGCAAGGGAAGAGCTACAGCAGCTAATCACAATGAGCTTCAAGCACATGCACAGGCTTATGACACGTACGGCAACATTTACGTTATAGCGTTAAACGTGTTGCAGCATTTAGACCAACTCAAAACAAACCCAAACGGGGGGAAAAGAAACAAGATGACACAGAAACGAAGGAAACTAGCCGCGAATAACAAGCTAAACATCGGATACTCGCCGAGCTAGCCTAGCTTGCTAAATCAAATGCGCGCTTTAAGTACTGACTATTTATGTTAGCTCCATGCTAGCTGTGCTAACAGACTTACTAGGTACAGTTTCTGCCACCGGCCCTCTGAATCTATCTCTTCAAACTCCTGGTCCATGTTCACTGTGGCAGCGTCAGTCTGGTTAAATCACGGTGTGTGTAATTAATTGTCCGACTGTCTACCTCATTACTTTAACCAGGCTAGAGAGGCTTTTGGTCGGAGACTACTTCCCTACGCTAACGAGTCCTCGCTGCTTGTTTGTCCGCTGTCTCTCCGAGGCAGTTGACATCTCCATCAAGCGACAGCTGCGCATGCGCCAACAGAGAGGTCCTCCTGTAGCTGTCAGACCGAAACGCAGCAAAGATATTCAGTGAACACACGAGATGTTGAACTGTCACTCACTCTGGAGCAACCGTTTTGATAATTAATACATTTAATTTCGCCTAATGGGTCAGATGTGTGTTTTACACTCATTTATCAATGTGTTTTAATTTAGAGGAAGTCATTGTGTGTGAATTAGTTTGACAGTAATTGTCGTGATGTTCAGGTTTCATTTTACAACTTTTAGACCTAGATAGATAGATAGATAGATAGATAGATAGATAGATAGATAGATACGTTACCGTTAATAGATTAATAGATAGATAGATAGAAAGATACTTTATCGGCTAATCCCCAGGGAAATTCAAGCCCATCCAGTAGCATAAAAATAACAAACATACCATTAACACAGAATAGTTAAATTCAAATTAAAAACCCTGGACCTTAAGAACCAGAATCAAAAATAAGATAAAAGATAGATATAATATGTTAGTATTATGTATGTATATAATATACAAAATTAACAGTATAAAAGTAACAGTAGCTACAGTAAACATTGCAAACAGTGAACAGTGCAAATGGAGTGCAAGTGGAAGTAAAGTAACTAGTTGGTTGGATCTAAATTGAAAGTGATAACAAAGTCAAATCATAGTAGGACTAACTATTATTTTCATTATCATTAATTACTGATTGATTGATTATTATTATATTTTATTAATTGATTTATCATTTGGTCCATAAAATATTGGAAAATATTATTATTATTATTTTTAAATTGCTTGTTTTGTTCGACCAACAGTCCAAAACCCATATTATTAAGTTTGATATAATAGAAAACTAGAAAAAAATGCAACTGTTCACATTTAAGACGCTGGACCCAGTGAGTTTGGGGCATTTTAATTTGTACTTATACTTAAACTTATAAAAAATATAAAAAGATTATAGGTGAGTGTGACATTTTTAACAATTATTTATTAAACCAATTCAAAACAATGTGTTAACCTTTTAATATAGCTCTCAAAATGGATCATGTCGTCCTTGATAAAATTACAGGTTATTTGAATTATTTTAATTGAAAAATTATTAAAGCTTTCAAGAAATATTTACAGATTTACTGGCATTATGTGATGTAGGTGACTCATAATAGTTATTAGAACTACTTACTTCATCTGAATTTTAAAATCAACATTTCTTACAGAGAAAACACTCAACAGTAACATAATCTGTGTAACTTGAAAGCACTTTGTTGACGAACACCATAAAACAGAAATGTGCTCATTGTGCTGGACAAAGACCTCAGTAATATAATTCTTATGGGACTGATTACAGATCAGCACAGAGGACAAAAGCAGAATTTCTAATGTTACAGAGCTGCTGCACATTTTCCTTTTCATCTAACACAGGTTTCCCTCAGTGTCACAGCTGACTGGCCTTTTATTTTTTTCCATTTTCTTTACTACTACTTACTAAGAAACAGAGGTGAGAAAAACCAAATGAGATTGTCTGCTTGGTTAAATAAAGGACAGGTTTGAGCATGTCTGAAACATAAAGACACTTACAGTGATATGACGACTCCCCCCTTGACTAACAATCAGCATACAACAACCTTGTTTGGACAGGCATGGTTGAAAGCCCACTGGACATTATTTTAAGTTAAGTTAAGATCATGAACCAAACATATGTAAAGAAATCTAATATATATTATATTGAATTAGAAGTGATGCAGGAGACATCTACAATATTCAGTTTTTATCATCATGTGGCCATAAAAAGGCAACTTTGATAGGACACAGAATACACATTAATTGTGATATAGCTACGGTGCTTGAAAATGAATACAGCTCACATAGGTTTATACAATATGTTACACAACAATTTCATCTAAATGTCAAAGGTTTTAAGGGAGAATTGTAGATATCATAGTACTTTGTCATCATACAGGCTATGCCGTGAGAACTGATGGTTTACACAAGATAGAGGAAGTTGAAAACAATGTTTCTTATAAACTACCAAGTAGCCTCGAGGTAATGTTTAAAAACACTCAAGCATCATAATCTAAAGGATGTAATTTTAGCTGCTCCCCGTAAGGTAGAACATTAAATGTCATGGTTCAGACTTAGTTACTGGTTGAGGTTACAGTCATACATGATGGGTGTAAGACTCCTCTCCGGTGACCACAGGGTGGCAGTATTTTCAACACTACATAAACACTGGCTGGGACTGAAATGGTGTCAAGTTGACGGTTGCTACCAGAAAGAAATGTTCCGATTGAGCGATGTGGCTTACAAATAAAAGCAGACACAATATTACACTATTACATAAGTCATGGGGACATTTCATATTAGTAGTTGAATGTATGTTGTAGTTTAGTTCTTTGAAGTCCTTCTACGTGGCAGGAAGTTTTGGTTCATTTTACTAAACTAATCTGAAACAAATTGCTGAAAGTTGTTTGGTGTTGATTTGGTTCTTTGGTTGTTTTATGTATTTTATTTTACACATGCCTATTAACTAAAATAAAATTAACTTTGAAAACACACCGTCCACAACTATCTAGTTTTTGAAAGTTTACCTTTTTCCTCATTATTGAATATTATTATGCATACAGTAATAGGACACTCTAGAGACCAGCATGCTTTCACATTGACTTTGAGTAAATCTTATTAATACATTATACTTGTAACAGGTGCAGGAACAGGACAAACAGTTGACTCCAATCTTACATCCACTGCAACTGAAAACTATTTATATTACTATTTTTTATTGTTATTGTATTTTTTTCAAACATCAACACATATCATTCAAATACATCTACCTATATACTGCATATACTGTCAGATCCATTTACCTTATGTAGGTTATGTGTATTGTTTTTTAGTTTGTTTATATATATATATATATATATATATATATGTATGTATAACTGTACATAGTAGTTTATGTCTATTTTGTTGAGCTTGTTGTCCTGTTTACTTATGCTTAATCTTTGTTTGTACATTGAGAACAACATAAAACAGGAGTCAGATTCCTTGTGTGTGCAAATACCTGGCCAATAATAGGTATTCTAATTCTTATAGTTAAATAAAAATGTAAATGAGTTACTTGTTTTACTAATAATTGAGTATTCTTACAGTGTTATTAAATGTGGGAACTTCTTCTACCACTGGCTATGTTTTTTCGTTTAGGCCGAAACTGGATGGGTGGTCTTTTATTGTGAAAAGCGAACATTCGCGAGCGGAAGTGTAAATGTTATTTGTCGCTCTTTCGCTTAACAACTTCAGTCAGACTCACGGGGGAATGTACTCAGACTGTCCGGAGAAGTTTTCTGCAACTACAACTGTTTAGTTAACCACGACTGAAAGGGGAAATGGAGACAGCGGTGTACACTTCTGTAGTGAAGTAAGAGGAGCCGAGGGGAAACTTTACCGGGTAAGTGTTGTCCCCGAGAAAGACCTTTACAGGCTGAATATCGCTTTAATACCACACAGATCAGAACTTCCTCCCTCTTCGACACTGACGAGAAGCTAGCTCGTTTTTTTTATTTATTTTATTTTAGCTTTGGTAGCTTGTTAGACTAAACTCTGGGTCAGCGGAAAGCCTCTGCTGGCACCGGGTGAAGTTTGCATGCCCGTTAAACTTCTATAAAGCATTATGTGGATGTTTTAAATGATTTACAAGCGAACAAACGCCGTAGCTCGGTTGTCTGCAACTCTTCGGGCGATTAAAGTTGGGCACTAGCTTCCCTGCTAGCCACATCTGATTGCGTTAGCTAGCAGGCTAACGCTGGTTAGCCAGGTGGAAAAGTCCAAAAACAATTTGGTTCCGAGGCCGAGGGTCAGTCGACACATGTAAAGCCCCTTTTTTTTTTATAATTTCCTTGAAGTTTAATGTGGACAAACAAGCCTACGTGTGCCGGTGGGGTTTTTGGATGGGAAATAACGTTACCCACAATATCCTCATTGCGGTACTTTGTTTGCCCTGTGCGGTTTAGGGCTGTAAAAGACGTGTTCACCTATTTGTTTTTAGCTTAAATAGGAGATCTTAATCACTTTAGACCACTCATTTATTGTTTTCACTACATTTGTGTTGCATTCACAGCCATTTGGACCGATGAGTGTAACGTTAGAGGCTGGTTTGTTTCGCTTTCTGTGACTGTAGTGTACACTTAAGTTATGCTTTGACCCTGCCATACTTATGTTTTATTTAAAGGTTTAATGTGTTTATATGTGCTAATAATTTACCGGTGTGCAGTCAGTGAGTGGGACATCTGATGCCGTTTGTTTGGGCATTTCATTGTTTTTGGTTCACATTTTTACAGCAAGTAATTCATGTAAAGCTAATTTTACTTTCACATTACTTTATCCTCCGACTTCTCTATATTTAGAGGAAGAGGTTGTACTTCTTTTTACTCAACGACATTCACCTGACATCTGCAATTACTAGTTGCTTTGCAGATTAGGATTTTAAAAACCTATAATGAACCTCTAAAATACAATGCTTTGTTTGTTGTACAGTGAATTAAGCCACCTGACAGAATATAAACTGAGTTTTACCTCAGTCAGCTGAGGGTCCATGTTAATCCATCAATAAAATAATTATCTAATAGTATAACGTATAAAAAATAGCTCTGACGGAGCCCATTCTGGTATTTAATGAGTTCATTTAGCTCCCAATAAGTACTTCTTTTAAGTAAGGTTAAATGTCGGACTTACAGTTGTTTTAATGAGCTGAATACTTCTTCCACCACCAGGGACTCGTTGCTAAACATAGGCCCGGTTCAGCGAATGGGAAATGTTCTCCTACGTTGTTTTAATGCCGTCACTTAATGGCACAGTCAACAGTGTTTTACTGAACAGATAACAGGTCAATTGCTGGGCACAGTTCTTTCCTTATTTACTGTGCAACTTTTATAGCATGCAAGCTAAACAAAGCTTTCTGTCAGTGAGTCATACGTAGTGCTTAGTTTTCTCTTACTGTTAAACCTCAGTTTCAGAATCGCTGAATGTAAACTGAAACGGTTTATTCTCCTGAGTTTGGTAATATTGTGGGACGTGTGTTGAAATGACACGACTTCCAGCTCGTGTCTTGCCACCGGTGGCATTTCTCACCACAGAACAGTGTTTTGTTCTTACATACAAATATTGACACTTTAGGTTATTTTAAGCATATTCTGTTGTCTTACATAATTTTGAATTATGTCTTTAAAGCCCATATTTTTCATCTTACATAAAGTTATTGTTACCTGTGAGTAAACTAGTGGTGAAAGAAGCAATTCTTGTTCTTCTTGTCACTTATTGACCCAGAGGGCTTCCACCAACTAACCCACCCCTTATTTGTAGAAGATCTCAAGTGGGGCGCAGTCTGAACTAGCTTAAGGTTAACTGACCTACATTTTCTGGCCAGTTGTACGGGGGGAAACATTCTGATCATATTTTATGTTGAAAAATATCTGACATTAACATATTGACAGTGTTGTATGCCGGTTGTGCCTGTGAAAGAGACTCCTGTCTGTGTGGATAGAGAACTGGCACTCATCTCAACGTTTCCTTTAACTTGACGAATGCTCAAAAAATGTTTGCACACCAGGGACAGATAGTGACCATGTTTATTTTATGAACGCTAGGGATGGTTTTTCTATTTCAGTCGGTCTTTGTCTTTTGTTACGCGGCACCAAAAGGAAGTATTATCACAGCCTGTGGTTATCTTTAAATTCCTCTTAATCTATAGGTAAATGCAAAGAGTTTACTTGGATCCAGATAAGATCAACTTAAAGTCTCTCAATGGAGACTGTAATTTAAGAATCAGTAGTATCTTATCTTTAGATAATATATAGATCATGCTCCATGGTGTATGTTTTAGTCCTTTACCTAACAAATAAGGTCAAAAAGCTCTTTCATTGTATTCACACATTTCCCCCGCATCTCTTTTAAGGTTTCTTGCTAAATAAATGTAAAGGAGTTGAAGCAGTCGTGGCTTTTAATTAGACGGTGAGCCTTAGCACTGCTGGTAAGTTGTGAATAGCTGTTGGTGTTTGTTTCCTCCTTCGCTGGAGCAGAGAGGAACAGAGCTGTCTGACCCATCACACCACCCATCTGCTTCCTTCCCCCCTGCTGTTCGGGGTGAAAAGACAAACAGAACAGGCGGCCAGTGAGGGGACTGTGGTATAAAGTGATGGAGTGGATTCACCCAGTGTCTCCCGTTCTGTCCCCCATGGCCCCGTCTACACCTGGCATTAACATGCATCTCGGGTGATCTGATCACGGCGCACGGCTCAAAGCGCAGGTGTGAATTGAGGACACGTTGAGATCCCGTCGCTCAGAACACATTCGGAGACACTGTTCCTTTCTCCACTGATCTACTGGCGGCGCCAAGATAAGCAGCAATGCAACAGCATAGACGGGGAAGAAGAAGACTGCTAGAGAATAAACATGGATGTAAACAACGCTGGTGACAAAGTTCCAAAGAAAAATCTGCTTTGCAAATGTTTATGTTTAGAAAACAAATACATTGATCACATTCGTTAGACCTTAAGGACACACAGTAAGTTCTGGTGAGCAACGCTGTATAAACCTACGTTTAAAACTCCACAGGGCACCTTTTAATGTCTCCTGGTGGTAAGGGCCCATAGCTGCACACGTGGGTCCTGTCGTAGCTCAAGCCCACTGTGTTGTGTTGTGTTGTGGCCACAGTGGAGGTTGTAGTTTACGTGATGCCCAGAGACCCAGAAATACTAGTGGGAGAAACTCTTTTTAAAAAACCAAGCTGTCGTTAATATGAATGAGCAGCAACAAGTTAGTCTCTCAATACATCCACGACATGGCTCTTGTACTTTATAGAAGAGCCTGTATGAAGTAGACAAACGGTATCTCCTTCTGTAGCTGGGGCAAACACAAGCAGTCTTTATTTGCTGTCTCCATGGTGATGAATGGAGAAATGGCAAAATAATACCCCCCCCCCCCCATGTTTAAATTGCTTTTTGACATGATAAACTGTGTTCATCTGAAGTTTTAATGACACATTGAAATGACGCCGTTTCCTCATCATAGTGTAGCAGATACAGTGGAAAAGTACCGTGGGCCTGTTGGCTGTAAATCAGGCTGTTTGGTAAATAGTGCTGAAAGCAGCCTCAGAGACACTCTCTCCTGTCCCCACTTTCTGTTGAACGTCAGACATTATTATTGTGCTTTGGCTGGCAGATAATGGGCTAAATAGAGATTCATTAAGCCACAGGGTTATTTCAACGTCCAGCTGACAGAAAGTTGGCCTCCACCTGGTGAATGCTGGGCAGTCTAACAATAACTTCTTTTTTTTCCCCCCAGTGTGATCTTTCTTCAGAAGGATGTACTGTGGCGTAGGCAGCAGTGACAGTTTCAGAAAAGCTGACATATTTCCTCTAAATATGGAAGGTAAACAAGTTACGTTAAAAAAAAAAGAGCGTTTCATCCCGTCTCTGGGCCTCTGTCTCAAACCGTTAATAACTGAATGCATTGTCATGATCAGGAAGTCTGACCTCTGGCTGGAATGTCACCGGAAATTAGTGTACGCGATGGGCGCTCTGAGCCACTCGTTTCCAGTGTCAGAAGCTGATCATTGTATGTAGGATTTCTTTGAAGGTAGGCGTTAAGTTACCACACTCTCAAAAGCCCAGGAAGCTTACATTCTCCGTACCTAAATTGGCACCTCAGCATTGAGAAGCACAGAAGGGATTCCCGTTTTAAAACACTCCTGTTCACACAAAACCCACTCGGACTCAAATATACTCCATTTTAAATCAAACTTGTCAACCAGGCGTTAGAGACGAGAGAGTACAGTGTGGATGTTGTGTCAGATGTGGTGGTTCAACTACAACTTTGTCCAAAATAGGAGAAGTAGATTAGAGAAGAGCCAAGCTAAGCATCTTTCTCACAATTCTTTAATAACAAAATGTAAGGGATCTTTATTAACAATGTATATGTATGTTGTTTGTTTCCGTAAAATACTTCACACTGGCCACTATAACGTTATCCTCAACAATCCAGTATACGTATGGCTATAATCCAAAGAGACAAATGCATTTTAACCAACTTGTTGGTAAAGTTTAAGCCTGGTGGATTTAAAAGCGTGAACAAGCGAACAGTTGAGATTAGGTCTGGCTTAAGTTACATTTTACATTGAAATTTCCTTCAGTGTCATGTAAATAAAACATTGTACACAATTTAAACTATACCATCCAGTAATTATTCCTTTCCCCCCATTCGTCGCATGTATCTGGGACTGTAAAACCACTAATGCTGTTTTAATTAGACTGTAGGAGATGACCCATCTTACTGCTGTGTGCTGATATTTGTGAAACTACTTAAAGGTTAAGGGAGGTGATACATTTTCACGTCAGCACAAAGTTATATATTTGTTTTTGAGTTCCAAAGAAGGAGTTGAATACAGTCGGTTTGCCTAGTTTTATTTGCGTGCCGCTCTTCTATTTACTTTAGAAACAGAAGAAGCGCCTTGGAGCAGTTATAATGTGAATGTTTATCGCTTATTAATTTACCCCCAAAAATTACAAAACATATTTATAAATCAGGGTTTTGACGTGCCAGTATGCAGACGCAGACCTGTAATATAAAATGCTCCACTGAAATTTAGTTATGCACCTAATTGTCTCTCTGCAAAATTACAGGCAATGGAAACCTGGATTTATTTTGTTTATTGCGATTCAGGAGCCAACATGTTATTGCTTCGTGGTCTGAACGGCCATACTTGTTAAAGCCATTACCACTGCAGCCCCAAGTGACACATTTTGTTACTATTTTTTTCCCGACCATCTTGACACGTAAATTATAGCGTGACTCCCAAAACATCTGAGTAACCTTGCGTCGACCTGTCCCTCCAGTAGAAGACCACAGATTTAAATCACGTTACAATGGTAATCATAGTGTAGCATCAGCTGATGCAAACTCAGATTTCTTTTAAGAGTTGACGGAAGGTTGAAAGCATTTTATTCTGCCGCAGTTCGCTTCCTGCCCACGGGGGTTGTCTCGGGAACTGGGACACCATCCCAGTGTGTGAGCCGCGGTTGCATGTGATTGCCCCCGGGCCGCAGAACTTAAAAACATGCATGTGCGTGCACACACACAAACAGAAACACACACCCACCGCAGTCACATGGAAAGTCCCACTCACTCTCGGTACAGTGCCGAGGCAGGCTTTTCCAGTTTGATTGCGCCTTGGGAGTGTAATTTCACATCAACTTGCGGGTTGCTTGAAATTGCTCTTCTGTCTTGTTAAAATTTCCTCTTGCTCACGTGACTTGGCTGGTTGACCCAATACATCATCGGGCTTTGCTGTGATGTGGAATTATTGTGTTAGGACATCGCTTTAGCCAGAACCAGATTCGCCTCGCAGTGGATCTTCATGGTCACTAGCTTAATCATCAGAGAAGCATTTTCTGTTTTTGTTGCTCCATGACACAGTTCAGTGCTCAAGAATAGCTCTGGAAGTCTGCTGCTAAAGAAGTGTTCAGTGTTTAAATGTGTCCTAGTAGTGAAGCTCTTATTTCACGTAAGGTTTAACAGTTAATTTCTCTGTACGGTTATACAGGATAAAGTATTGTACCATGTCTCTGCCTTTGAGTCAGTGGCAGCATTTGCCCTGACACACCTTAAAGAAGTGGCACCAACAAAACTGTCTAATCGTGTCACATCACCAGTCTCATGTTGCCTTACCCTCTGGTGTTTTGTGTTGCTTAGATTTTAGATGTCATGTGCAGGCTTTGGGTTGTAATTGTGACTTTCAAACCCACTAATTAAAACACATTATTCTTTACAGCTTGGCTGCAGTGCTAATGGTTTGATGAGATGCAATTATGGTTCCGACTTCATCTCTCATTTGTCTTTAATTCCGAGTTCAGCGCATAGGTTAACTTTACATTTCATTTACTTGAACATTGTAATCAGCTAAATGTGGCTGCTGAACATCTAGTTCTCCACGCCCCGTGTTTGTTTGTTTGAGTGTAAAAAACAAACAAACAAAGTCTATTGTGAGAGGCACACAAATGTCAGATGTACAACCTAATTGATAAAGCAACTCGGAGATACTTTGTTGAGTCCTACGTTTATAACAGAACTGATGACCGCCATAACATCAGAGCTTAATATGCGTTTATGAAATTACACCACAACCTTCTGAGAAAAGGAGAAGAGCTACTACGTCACACAGTAAATGCATTATAATAATAATTAAGTGAGGATATTGTATCATCCAGTAACTCAATTTAACTAAATGGATTAGAGCTCCAACTAGTTCCCTGTGTGTGCAGTCTTACTCACTAGCAGCTACGTTCACCTTCCTCCTGTGAGAAATCGTCTTGCGAGCATTTCCCTGCTGCCTTTAAAACTGCAGTCGTGTTTTTCACTCCGCTGTCTGAGAAACATCAGCGGTTTTTATTGCTTGAAGTGTTGTTTCCAAGTCCTAACAGTCCTGTTATCACCTTGATATCGCAGTGTCTGTACACTGAATGTGAACAAAAGGACTCGATGTTTACACTGCCCAGATTTTATAGCGCTTTTTATCTTTGTGTTACGATCCAGGCGTGTGGAGGAGCCCCAATGTAAACTCTCATGGGAAATAACTTCTACGTCTGTTTTTGTTGTCAAAACCTTTATTGTTTGTAAAACCTTTTACTGTATGTAACCAGTCCCTAAATGTTCAGGCCTTTCCATTTCCAACTAGTTCCCTTTGTCCTACACAGACTTAAGTTTTGTCAGCAAGATAACTGCTGGTTTATTTTTGAAATGTTGCTTAGAACTGTAAGCCTCATACATCTTTCCTCTCTTATTTTCAGCTGTGTCACAGTAGCCTTCTGTATATTCCACTGCTAACAGTGTATGAGCTCCTGCATCACATCCTGACAGGTAGTTCAGATGTGTGTGCGATGGATCGCTGTTTACTCCTGGCATCACACATCCTCCCAAATGCACATCGAGTGGCCACTTGTGACGAGAGTCTGCTTTCCACTGTTGGAGAAGAAGTGGACGGAAGTTTTGCAATTTCATGCCTCGGGTTTGAAATCTGCTCCGAGTTGTTGGGCGCACAGAAATAACCTACAGCGTTTTGAAGGGCTTTGGTTGTTAATGCAGAATTAATTCAAGTTGAAATATTTGGTTGATATGGTAGAGGAAGGAGAGCTGGCATCTAAACAAGTGCAGTCTAGGGCACCAGGCTGAATACGGCTTCTGGCTGGGCAGCTAAAAGAAAGTCTTTTAAAACTTTCCTCTAACATTTAAGTAGCTATAGTAAAACTTAAATGCTGCCTGCATGTCATCATGAGGGGAGAAAAACCGCAGCCATTCCGACCAAGGTTTCTAGGTTATGAGACTGTTTGCACTTTGCTGGACTGCTGTCCCAGTTCAGATCTGCAGTGGGCTTGTTAATTAGTCACCTTTTGGCTCCCTCTGGAAGTTTCCTGAAATAAGTCCCTAATGACAAACACACACACACACACAAACTCCAGAGCATACAGAAGCAGAAGGGAATCACTTTGCTCCACGTAGCTTCTTGTAATGCTGTTTTTCTTTATCGCACAGATACGAAAGTTGTTCAAATGAGAGCTGCCATTTAAAAGTGGACGACTAGAATCATCAGTTGAGAAGACCCCGAGTTTAAACTGCGTCACTGCACACAGAGCGAGGCAGGAGCGATGGCATTACAGACCGTGACCTTACCAGCACGATGCGAAGCAGGGCAGCACGACCTGTGTCTGTTGGCTGCTCCGACGCTCTCAGCTCCGGTGCCGACTGTCACTGGAGTCGGCTAAACTACTACATATTGCCATACTGTATTTTTAAACTAAAGATGGAGCCTCTTAACTAGGGCACAGAATGTCTTTGTTTGTTATGAAACAAACTAATAAATCAACACGGTAAATTGTGTCTAATTGTTAAATAGCAATAATCCTTTAAGGAGATGCGAGTATTTTTTTTTAATAACATTGCATAGCCCTCAGCTACAGCACTTCTTGCTGATGTCAGTCGTTTGTCTGCAGTGTAGTTTTCAAATGAGAGATGAGTCGGACACATTTGAGGGCATTAATAAAACAGGCAGTTTCTCCACTTAAGCTTGGCACACACCAGGTGACATGAAGCTGCGTTATAACCCGATTTGGCAACAGTTATTGATTTTAACGATCTGGACTTTGGACTGGTCTGCAAAAATCTACAGACTGTATCTTGTAAGCTGCAATAGGTTGGCATTCAAATCTTTAATTTCCCAACTGACCCGTTTAAAGCTCATTTATCCAGCATTCTTTGAAATGTTTTTTACTATTGGAATCAGGGTTATTGCTGCTAAGAGGTCGATAGAGCACAAAATCAGGTGCCATTGTCTGTCTGTGGTTAAAACACCCTGGCACACAACAATTTGTTTCTTATTTGTGCAATAAAACGTTTGAGAAATATCTCTTTGAATGCTCAAATGCTTTCAGTATTTCAGCACTACTTCCACTACATGTTCACTTAAACGCTCCTGTCACAGATGATGAATTGTGCTGAGTTGTTGTGAGTTGTTCACACTGTGTAAAATAAGAGCATGTGGAAGCATTTGAGGCAAGGTGTGGCTGCTCATTGACACAGCTGTGGCCACATCTGAGATCTATGATGGGAAAAATACAGGATTTCATTTTGTTTTGCCTACACTTGACTAATTCACACTCCAGGGAAAGCCTGTAGCCATTTTATGTAAGCAGTCTCGCATACACAAACGAACAAACACAGAAGGCACGCTTGGAAAGAAAATGCCTGAAGCCAGCCAGAAAACTCCTAATTATGAAAGAGTTGGTCTTTCCTTAACACAGAGACCAGTGAAAAGCCTCAATGATAGTTGTTTTGTCTTAGATTTTGTCAGATTTTAAATGTTGTACATCCAGTTAATTGATTGTTCCTCAGCCTGACAAACACACATTACTGTTTTTGCTGCAGAATTATTAAATTTTCTGTTTTTTGTTTTCTGTCTCTCAGGTTGGTGTCCTACCTCTGAACGTCGACATTTCATCACTGTGATTTAAACCAGGCACGGACCACACAACAGACTTCCAGACCTCCTATACCAGCTTCCAGCCACTATGTCCTAGCTAACAGCGGCCCAGCCCCCTCCCCTGACCATCCTGTCCCTTCAACCCCAGTCCCTCTCTCCGTCCCTCATCTCCACTCCTGATGTGGTGATTTCTGGTTGTAGCACCAGCGGCGCCCCTTCTGGCGTGATGAGCAGCCTGCACCAGCAGCATCATGGCAGCACAGGCTCAGAGCGAGACCTTCACTCTGCTGCCTCCTCTGTTAGCCTCCCTTCAGTTAGAAAGACCCCCAAGAAGCGTCGTCTGTCCCTCCACTCACTCTTTGGTCGACGACGAAGGCATGACCGCGACCCGAAGCGTAAGTCCCGGCCTTTGCAGGCTGCAGCTGGGGTTGAAGGCATTGTCAGCACCGAAAGTGTCCAGCCAGAGACGTTCCATGACAAAACTTGTGCCCAGTCTGCGCTGGGCGCAGTATCGACTTCATCAGTATCAGGTTCTTCATCAGAGCTGCTCGAGTGCCCTCTGTGCCTACTGCGCCATACACGCGAGCGCTTCCCAGACATCATGACCTGTCACCACCGCTCCTGCGCAGACTGCCTGCGACAGTATCTGCGCATCGAGATCTCAGAGTCCCGAGTCAACATCTGCTGCCCCGAGTGCTCGGAGCGCTTCAACCCCCATGACATCCGGTTGATCCTGGGGGACCGAGCCCTCATGGAGAAGTATGAGGAGTTCATGCTGAGGAGGTGGCTCGTGGCTGAACCTGACTGCCGCTGGTGCCCTGCGCCGGACTGTGGGTAAGAGCAACAGCTGAGGAATTATATAGGCTAAACAGTGGATTATTGTGTCCACATACTCAATATATTAAGTGTTGTCCACCTAACATTCATGGAAACGAAGCATACTGAAATTTAAAGGTTTCAAGCATTTGACTTTATTTCCACAGACTACAGCTTTCATTTCATATTTTAAAACTACTATTTCTGTTACCTGTGATGTACTTGATGATTCATCCCTCTGATGTAACGAATACACGAGTCCCAAAATAACATAGCAAGCAGCTACATCAAGGAAACTTCAAGGGTGTAATCTGGCCTTTTGAAGTTCACCCCAGCTTCTGCATTGATGCCCGAGTTATAAATAACTCGCAGCAGTAATAGACCTGTTTATTCTGTCAGCCTAATGAGTCAGCCAAAAAAGACGTAACGATGATGCCAATTGTTATCAGACTGTACCTGTGAGTTTTCCAACCACACAATGGTCTGAACTATAGGAGCATATGTACAGTAAAAAGTATCTCAGTGCAGTATTAATAATAACTAACTCAAACTAAATGTTAATATAATTATTTATGTTATAATGCTGTGAGAGGGTTACAATTTTTAAGTCAAGTTGGGTATATTATTGTTGCCCTTCACACATACTAATATACAAAATCTGGCCTGTGGTAGTAGATAAAATACAACAAAAACTTTAAATTGTTGAATGAAGCTGGTAGGTATTTTTGAATTATAATTATAATAATAATAATAATAATATCTTCATATTTTATTTATTGTAAAGCACTTTCTAAACAGAATGACAAAGTGCTTTACAATAACACTGTAAACAATAGCAAGACTAGGATAAGTGTTAAAAAGAGTACCACACAGAATAAAACAAAAGAACAAGACTTCTATGTATTAGTATTAGTATTGAGTGATAAATTATCAGCTTCAGGTCAAGATGACGTACTGCGAAACCTCAGTCCATTTCTTCAGCCACTGCTAAAAAAAATGTTGTTGATGAAACTTCTCGGAGGGAGGAACGGTTTTTCTGGGTTTTTCACAAGGTGCTGACAGTGCAGGTGAGGGTCAGGTCAGGGTCTTGTATGTTTTAGAGCTGGTAGGGATTCAACAGTTTGCTCACAGGGGCCTGAACATTTCTGTGCTCACTAGGTCACCCTGCTTTACCTGTTGTTTAGTGCACCTTAAGGCTACAACAACAACCATGCACACAGCATAATCAAAACTACTCATCTGCATTTGCATCAGTCTGGGTTTGTTTTGCTGATGCAGTTTCTGGTAGGAGTGTTGGAAAGAAAACTAATCTTAGTAATTTGTAGAGTTTTGGAGTAGTTAATAGTCCACATTTCCTGCATTCAGTTATCATCCTTAGTTTTGAGTGATTGCTGAGTTCAGTAATGGCTTTACCCTTCACACTCGTAACAACACAGCTGTTAGAATAATGGCCTTTTCACTAGCTTTTTTTAACTAATACTGAAAAGTGTGTCAGTTCTACAGAAACTTTTTTTTTTTAAAAAGCATCGTAAAATGACGTAAAACTACTATAAAATATATAAAATATAACGAAAATCCTACAGCATCTTTGATCATAGTCCAGACTCTCTTTTTGAACTTGAATCTTTTTATTAACTTTGTCCCTAATGAAAACACTGAGATTGAAACTACACTTAACTCTAATCATCCAAAAGAAAGCCTTTAATAAATATCATCTCCCTGCTCTGCTCTAAGATAGATGGCCTGAAGTTTATATTTTTTATGTCCATTTCATCACCTTTTCTATCTTCAGGACAACCTAAAGCTTATTGGGTAAAGGAGTACATGGATAAAGGATTGAGCATGTTTCTGCAACTAATTATTTTCCTCATTGATTCATCTCCCGATTTCTTTTCTTTTCTTTTTCTTTTTCATTTGGTTTGTAAAAAAAATTTAATAAAATGCCCATAATTGTCATTTTCATGAAAGCTTCAGACTTTTATATAGATCATTTACACTGGACCTTTTGCACACAGTGATTTATAGTATAGAGTTGTAACACCCGGTCATATGTCAGCTCGAGTGTTTGTTTTTCCTACTGCCTGTGTCTAATGTTCCCATCGTAATCCTACTATGGGTTACTGAATGACTGCCACAGTCTCAGGGGTTAACAGAGGTTTTCATACATGTACTTACTTTATTAATTGGCCAGGTTCTCTGCTGTCCCCTCTGCAGTCGCCAAGCCTTTCCTTTCAACAAAATGATTATTGATGTGTCATCTTATTCATTCTAGAGGGACACAAGTAGGTTTGTGAGTCAGCAGGCAAGGGGAAACAGTTCATCCTGTACTGTATTTCCACAGAAAATAAAGCCATTTATATGAGGCTTTCATTTTGTTGTTGTTGTTTTGTTGCAGTGGGTTTTTATAATGCCAGTTTGTCAAGTTGTATTAGATTTAGATGTTCATAACAAAACAGGTGTTGGACTTTGCCCCGGTCATGCTATCTACCTTTTAATAACAGCCATCAAATTAACCATTGTAATGACTGATTAGGGATTCTATGGTGACATGCAGTCATGCAGAACTGATGTGAGTACTGATTTATTGCAGCAGAGCTCACTGGCGAAATCATCATGGAAAGTCAGCTAATTTCCTGTGTTTATGCAACATACACTTCCATAGTATACACTGCTGCCATCTACATCTTTAGGAATACATCCCTCTGAGAAGTGTATTAGATATTTACTCTACCTCTGCACTTGTCATTTTAGGCCTGCTGACCCCTAGTGTTGTACTTAATTACTGCACACATGCACTCCTACCAGCAAATACTAACCACCATTTTGGTGAATTTGTTTTTCTCTCTCAGTTATGCAGTCATTGCGTTTGGCTGTGCCAGCTGCCCAAAGATCACCTGTGGGCGTGAGGGCTGTGGGACAGAGTTTTGCTACCACTGCAAACAGCTGTGGCACCCCAACCAGACATGTGACACAGCACGGCAACAGAGGGCCCAAACCTTCCGGCTGAGGAGCTTCAGGTCCTCCTCTCTCAGCTACAGCCAAGAGAGTGGAGCTGCAGGTAACGATCACAGAAATACCACATCTGTACCTTTAGCACAACCATCACCTGTTTTTAGCTTCATACTCAGGTACAGATAAATTCATAGTATACAATATGTACTGTAAACATTCACCGAAAATACTGTATGCAAACTGCTCTCCTTGCTTTCCCTCAATCAACCTCCACTAGGAGATGACATCAAACCGTGTCCTCGTTGTGCTGCCTACATCATCAAGATGAATGACGGAAGCTGTAATCACATGACCTGTGCTGTCTGCGGCTGCGAGTTTTGCTGGCTCTGCATGAAGGAGATCTCTGACCTGCACTATTTAAGGTGAGACAAATGCACAGTAGAGAGAACTGCGTGTCTGCACTCAGTAGTTGATACAGTTGTCCCTCCTGTTATTTCATTTCTTTGGCATTTTGCCTTTTTGAGAGCCAACGGCATAGAGTTTGACATGAAAGGAAACCACGAATGTTGTGGTTATGCATTGAATTTCATTATTAATATTAATATCATTTTAACTGATGGTTTTCCAGAGCTTTCAACTGGAGAGTTATTTAGTTTTGTTTTTGCCACAGGTTCCCTAAATGTTTTTGTTTTTGTTCTTCGCTACCTATCTTAGTTTCAGTTAATAGCATCTGAGCATTAGCATCTTGGATCATTATCATGATAGGAAGAAACATCAACTCACTGTTGTATTGTGATGCACGCATAGTGGTTAATTGTCTGTTCTGTGCACAGATGGTCTTAAAAAATAGCTGAAAGGTAATGATTGTTTCAGCTGTTTTTTACCCCCCATTCAGTTCTTACACTCATTCACACTCTCTCCCTCTGTTTTCCCTGACGCTACCCCATTTCCTCTCTCCCTCCTCTCAGTCCGTCAGGCTGCACCTTCTGGGGGAAGAAGCCGTGGAGCAGAAAGAAGAAGATTCTCTGGCAGCTCGGCACATTGGTGGGCGCACCCGTGGGCATCGCCCTCATAGCTGGCATTGCCATCCCTGCAATGATCATTGGCATCCCAGTCTATGTGGGCAGAAAGGTGAGAGCTAACGCCACACAGCTGAGGAATGATAAAGAACAATAGTGCTCAAAACCAGCAGTTTATTCAGATAGAGGGAGACTGTAAACGGAAGTCAGTTAGCAGTGGTACAGTTGTAGTTCCAGAGATATAATTCTTTAAAGTAATTGACATGATGATTCTCTTCCTCAGATCCATAATCGCTATGAGGGGAAAGACATCTCCAAACACAAGAGGAACTTGGTAATAGCTGGTGGTGTGACGCTGTCTGTGATCGTGTCGCCTGTGGTCGCAGCAGTCACTGTTGGTAAGACAGAAGGGTCTCTCGCTCTTTTTTTCCTCTTCACTCTCTCTCTGTCACCATCTGTTTCTTGACAACATTTAAATTATGTAAAAGGTTTTCCTCGGTGGGTCGTTAGTCTAAATTGAGTGTTATAAAAGCATCATCATAGCATCGTGGAAATGGCCCAAAACATTTTTCACATTCTGTTCTTTCTTTCTAAAAAGGGGTTTTTTTTGAAATAGTGTTTGGAAATGTTGTTGCTATATATTTACAGTTTACCACTGAGCCTTGATAAAACTTCCACTGTTTAAGTGTGTGTATTTACATTGTGTCATCTAGGCATCGGCGTTCCCATCATGCTGGCTTACGTCTACGGAGTCGTCCCGATCTCACTGTGCCGGAGCGGCGGCTGTGGAGTGTCTGCTGGCAATGGCAAAGGAGTGCGAATTGAGTTCGATGACGAAAATGACAACATAGGCAGCGGGGCGGCAGCCACAGGTGAGTAACTGATGGAAAACGACGAACAACACAGGAAAGCAATGCCACTGATTTCTTATGGAAGTATGAAGAATGTACAACTTGAACTATAGAAATTTGTCTTGCAGTCAAGTGAAACACAGAACACAGACTTAATATACATAAATCACATAATAGAAATATGCATAAATTAAACAATGTACGTTAGGTGACATCCAGCCATATTCCAAAGAAGCTAAACAAATCATAAAGCATATTAGATTAAGACACATGAATATCAATAAACCTGTTGCCTTTTTCTCAACTTTTGCACTTTTGCTGATTGTATTCCAGTCTCACTTTTGCATTCCTATAAACGTCAATGCCAAACGTTTATTCACGAAGGAAAAATTTTAGTCAGAATGAGACAAATTTGCCAATATATTATACACTTTTCCTCGCCTGTCATACAGTCACTGGCTTATGTGTCGTTATTGTTGGCACAATCAGTACAGCACCTGAATATTTAGAAAAATACAAGCATCTTTTTTCAGCAACCATACATAACACAAGGGGTTGTGGTAGCTGTGTGTACTAGCACGTTTGTGTTCACATTTGTTTGCAGAAGTACACCCACACCTGTCAGTGCCTTTGTGTGTACATATAGATTATTCATAGCCCACAAAGTGCCAAAACAGTTGATGGGAAACAAGTCTTTGAGGTGTGTGATGGTGTGAAATGACTGGCGCAGTGTCAGTGGTTTTCCCTGTCAGCGTGTGTTTGTCACTGTCGAACTGATGGCTTTGTGAGGTTGAGCTCGTCGTGCTTTCCTAGGAGGCGTTAAGGGAGATGGATTGTATTTCTCACACCTTCTGTCAACACTGCCAATGATAATTATGAATCCAAATAACAGAAGGGACTTTGACCTTTCCAGGAACATAAGGTGTGAGACTTGATGACACATATTCACACCTAAGAATTAATCAATCTGTTGTTCCGTGATGAATTTAAAGCGTGTAAATGTCAGTAAAGTCATTGATATAACTCCAGAAGAGGAAACCTAGGCCCCTGACCTCAATTTCTTTTGTTTGCTGTTGTTCTCTTGGGTCGCCTGCCCCAATTCTTCTTCACTGGTATTTCCTTCCTCATTCTCTCGAACTCTTTTTACTTCTGGAAACTTAATAGTGTGCCTGGCTCTTCTTTGTAAATTAATAAATTACACTTTCTGTTCCCCCTTTTTTCTCCTTAGACACGACCTCGGTGGCTGAGACTCGGCTCAACAATCCCAGCCTCGGAGACGGGGCGAGTGTCGGTGGCCTGACGGGCCTGAGCCTCAGTGTCAGTGGAACCCACATGGAGCGCTGCGGCATGAGTTCCACTCAGCGGGACAACATGAGTGACAATGCCAGCACCACAGCCCTCGCTGGGACGAGCATCACTGGCAGCCTCTCTGGCAGCTGCTACAACAGGTAATGAATGATCTCTACATTATTATTAATTAAGATTTGGGCCAAAGAATGGTACTGAATGAAGCATAAATTAGCAAAAGAGTGCTCGTTTCATGCAGGCGTGTTAATGAATTTACACACTTTATATTTACATTTTTATTTCAATGCATTTCATGGTATTCTCGTGGAAAATCTTTTTCTTACTATCTGCGATTGTGTTCTTCTAGATAAAACAAACATGTATTCACCCCATCAAGGCTTGAATTATTGTATATTTTGTGTCAATTGTCATTTCCAGGATGGAAGTTCAGGCTGATGTCCAGAAGGAGCGCTGCAGTCTGAGTGGAGAGTCAGCCACCGTCAGTCTTGGGACAATCAGCGACAATGCGAGCACAAAGGCAATGGCAGGATCCATCCTCAATGCCTATATGTCTCTGGAAAGGTCAGTAGTCAGAGCATACTTGTTGCAGCAGACCTATTTTTGAAGGGAAAAAAATCCCAGTTCTGGTTTTTCTAGTACCTTTTTATGCCAGACGTCCTGTGGTCAGATTGTTTAAAGGAAGGTCATTGTGTGTTTTTATCATCATACACTGTACTGCATTCTTTCTGTGTTAGTAAAAGGTCATGCTGGAGGCACATAAAAAGAAATGTGGGGTGATTCAAAGTTTCTTTTTTCCTTTGGTTACTTGAGCTGTTTATAGAATTGTTTGTTCTGTAGTCAAAAGTAAGACTACCAGCAGTTGTTCATAATAAATATGCAGGTGAATATGCATGTAAGATGCGAAAGATAACAAAAATGGATCTCTTTTACCGTTGGTTAATGTTGAGTGATTTTATTTTGCAGAGACAATAGTCTGGAAGTTCAGGCAGACGTGGAATCCAAACAGGAGAAGGTGAGACACTGCAGCGCCAGCAGCAGCCTGGATGAAGCCAGCTGTAGCAGTAGCACTGCCGGCCTTAAAGGTGCTAGCGGTGGTACTTGCTCATGCCCCTCCACCTGCTGCTGTGCGCAGCTCGACAACCACTGCTGCCCCTCGTCCCCCTGGTCCAAGGAAGCCTCCACTTCAGGGGGCAAGAAGAGCAAAGGAAAGCTTTGGAAAAGAGCCAGCAGCAGCAGCAGCAAGGGAGACACAAAAATTAATGAGACACAGGGAGAAATGGATGCTCAGCTCCTGGAGCAGCGCAGCACTAACTCCTCCGAGTTTGATTCACCGTCTCTGAGCGGCAGCCTGCCCTCAGTGGCCGACTCGCACTGTAGCCACTTCTCATCAGAGCTCAGCTGCTCGGACCCTGAAACCTCAAGACCGGCTCATCCAGCCTGCTCCGCCTCAACGGACCCCCACCCTCATCATCCCGCAACCACCTTCAATGACGTCACCATCACACCCATGCCCGAGGTGGAGCACGACCGCCTGGAGCATTACCCACCTCAGAGTAGCCACGCAGCTTTCACCCACCGCCTGCTGTCGTCCTCTCCACCTGCCTCACCAAAAGAGGGAAGTAGTGGGACGTTCCTGTACATCAGCGAGGAGAGCAGAGGCGACGTCGCAGATACCGAGCCAGAGAAAGACGAGAATATTAAAGAAACCACCAAAAACACTGCCGCACAGCCTGTAAGCCCAACGAGGAAGCAATGTATACAGACAGATATTTAAAGGAGCTGTCCTGTTCTTTGGGTGCTAACTAAGTTAGCCTTATTACCTACTTTCACTCATGAGTTCCTCAATCCCCCCCCCACACACACACACACACACCTTGGGAACATGGTGGTGAAGTTTGAGGCTATAAGTTTAAGTCTAATTATATTTGAATCTGATGTGGAGGAAGGGATATTAAGTGAATGTCAGTCTATACAGTTACAGAGAGGTCGAGGTCCAAGTTGGAAAGAGAATAATGTAAACAGGAGCACAGTGAAGTCAGAGTGGATCGGTTGGTTCTGTTCTTCAGTGACGGAACAAGCAAGACGTGTGAACCAGAAGTTTCAGCCAGGTCAGTAGGTAGAGTTGAATGTATGTGGACATGTGTAAAATATGTTATGACGGTGGTGAGATACTGTAGAAGGGCCATCCAGCCGTTATGATCTGCAAAGTCTGACCCCTGAATGATTTACTGAATCCAAGCTGAAGGCACAGCAGAGGTGGATAGGAAGAAGTAAAATGTGATATTCTTTACAATAGTAAGGTGAGCTGCTATTTTAAAGCCTAAACCTGATCTCCCTCGTGACATCTGCAAATCGGGGATGGATATGTCATCACTGTGGTCCACCGCTGTGCCACCAGTTCATTCTGTGACTTCTTAAAATGGCATGAAACACCACAGCTAAAGGATTGTTGAACCTAAGAGGGACCAGTCCACACAGTAGCAGATTTTATTTTTCCATAATCAATCTATAAGACAAATTATTATTGTTGCTTTCTGTTGTTAAAATGTTTTTGTGCTTTGTCTTTGCCTATTTTTATTTTCCATTTTGGGAAAGTTGGTTTTAATGTTGAAGCCCTGTGTTGGGTCCAAACTTTTTACCGTGATGGGGTGGGAATTGTGTCGACAACAAACTGTAGCCTCTTTCTTTTTAAAATATTGGGGTTTAAGACAGTTGCCATCTTGCATTTTTCCATCTTAACAAGCCCTTGTCTGCATTGGTAAAAAATCTAGTTTTGTAGTACATAATAGAATTATGAGAGGTACAGTCCTGAGGCAGCGTAACTGAGAAAAGCAAAAAAGCGAAATTTTTAAATTCAAAACTGTGGCATTCTTTGTTTTGCTTGTTTTAGTAATCTGACACTAAGTCAACCAAACAATTTATTTGCAATAAGAAGCTCGGATATACTTAAAGGTGCAATTATGAACTCCCTTCAGTGATTTAATATTAAGCTGTGACCGTATGATGATAAAGGCCTACATTCTCCCCCAGTAAATCAAAATATCATTTTTCATTCAGAGCTTTGGGTGTATTTTAAATACAATGTAAAACAAATTAAGTTGTTTTCTCAGATCATTGCAAATGATTAATGCAAATAATTTTATATTTGGTGGACCCACAGTGCCTTTTGGGGGAAATCCTTTTGTATAGTGTTTTTATTTTTATTTTTATTTCTTCTTATTGTCTTCAAATGATAAGCATAAAAATCACGAGAGAATGAATTATATTTGCCTCATAAAACGCTTGAAATGCATGAAGCCTGATGCTACATACTAACCCCTCCACTGAGTGCTAATGCTAGCTGTCGCAATAGCTTGTTTAGCCTACCAAAGACTGCTCTCAAGCCACTGCAGTTTAAAGTTCACTTCTTCACTATCAACCATTAATGGAGTCGATGGTACCTGAATTATTTCCCTGTAGAAACTCTACTTTAATACATGAGGAGAGTTCAGTCCATGAGGTTGAAAAATCACAATACGATACTTTAAATCTCAAGACCAAAATCTTTGTTTGGGTCATTTTTTAGGAATAATATATTGAAATTGTTTCCCTAAAGTAGCCAAGTCAGTTCACCAGTGTAGTGGGTCAGCTCCGGTTGGCAATAAAAACCCTTTTTTTTTTTTTTTTATCCAAAGCGATCAGCATTTTGTGCGTCAGATGTTCAGCAGCTGTTGTGAATTTTCAGCCTGACCACAGATGACTCTGCTGGGATGTCAACCGGCCGAGCTCAGCGTGAGCCGTCCGGGAGTAAAGAGTGGGTCATCAGAGAAGCTGCGGTGTCGACTAAAAGCGTTTCGGTGCACCTCAAAAGCCTCCAGCTGCAGGATATTCCCACCCTGTTTATGTTCATTCTGTAAAAAAACGGCTGTTAAATTCCTGTGAGTTTTATATTATTATTTGAAGACTAGTGCCAGGTCTATTTTCTAACTTGGTCAAAAGAAACGTATGCTATTTGAAAACGTATGTATTCCCTAATTATTTGCTTTATAATGTGCATGTAAATGCATATCCTTAAACAATAAAACTCTCAATGAAGCGTCTTGTCTGAATATTTTGACATGAAACTAATGGTTTTCTGTACCCTTTATGCTGCTGTGTAAAATTGTCAAGCTGACATCTGAGCAAAGACAAAGGCTCATCAAAGCATCCACATACCTGTTTATTATTTACATTTGCATTCAAACTATTTACATACAGTACATGCTCTTTACATTCCACGAAGCAACACTTCAAGCCTCATGTCAAGTGTTTTCATTTAGTTATGCTTTTATTTAGACAGTACAAGCGAAAAAAAAAAAGGTAAAATAAGATTGGACAATGTGTATTATACATTAATACCTCAAAGTGTACCTCAAAGTGAAGTAAAGGTTGTGGCACATTGTGCTATACGGAGATTTACATTTGTGTGTGCTATGGGGGATTCAAAAGAAAAAGATTTGAAAGGCCCTTCACACCTATTTTAGTGATTTGGTTAATTAGACCTTTGCTCCTTTTGACTGAGGTCTACTAACTAAGAGTGACAAAGGTCTAATTTGTCCCTCTTAAATAATAGGAGTGAAATTCAAACATGTCGCTGTTGATCAGGGGCTTTAAAATGTGGGATCAAAAGTCTGAATATACACTTCAAACCATCAAAGAGTTCATGACTGCTATTATTGTGTTATATTAATTGACTATCAGACACCGAGCTGTATTAGTTCATCAGGCTGGACTGAAGATCTGTTCTGACTATGTTTAATAGAGAGCATAGCCTATTTGTTGAATGAGGGGATTCTGTGAACAGAGCAAATTAAAAAAAGAGTGAAAACAGACATCCTTGCCTGATTCCCTGTTGTAGTTGGACAGGTTTCCAGTTATGAAGAAAAAAAAAAAGTCACCAAGGATGCATTAATAAAACTGATATGAGACTTTCTAAAACGTAAATACGGTACACCTACTCACACATACACACACATTCATCTTGGTTACATTCAAGATAGAACCTGAGACCTACGATAAGTCTTACAGTACATGATAAAGTAACCTGTAACACTAACTTCAACAACTAATGAAGTGACAATTTATAATTAAGAATGATTTAAACACTGAGCTCAGGATATTTGGGGGATATTTAACTGTGGTAAATCACTATTATAACATTTTAAATTAAAGTTAAATCATAACACCTCACTTTAAAGGGTCTTTAGCTTTAGAATTTCTTTACAATAAGTTGTTGTCTTTTGTTTGATAAGTAGCAGCTGTAGTGATAATACATGTAAACAATGACAAATAGCTGGAACAGATGACACTCTGGATACATAAAGATAGTACCAGACTTTGGACCTTTTTTTGAAATCCCTTATCTTTACATACACTACAATTGAGTTGAATCAGTGTCTTTTGTCATGAGCTCTGAACCGTATTGGAACCAAACACAACCTCTTTAAAACAAAGTAAAACATTTAAATCTTGGCGTAATTCATCCTAACTGTGGTAGAAATCTCATTAAGGCACACATAATACACTCCTACTTCCCCCCGCTTTACTCCGCCATATAACAGCGCTCTGCAGCCTGTTACACTGATCTGTATATACAGTGCATTACATCATAATGTGAATTATTTATAGTGCAAGCAGGTCACGAGTACCTTGACATTAGCCTTTTTTAAATAAAGCTGCCCATTATGTAAGGTTGTGTACTCAGGAGTTGCGGATGGTGCAGAGCTGAAAGAGAGCTGGTCATCCGAGGAGCCCGTCCCAGGAGTTAACGCCAGTCATTTCCATGTTTTTTTTTTTTTTTTTTACAAGTCTTACTTACTACAGTTGATGGCTTTAAAAGTCCTTTCCCCCATTACCGCTACAGTACAGTATATAGTCCACACCTTCATTCCACTGCCTCCATATTGCTCCACAAACAAACATCAAACCTGGGGGGGAATTAGCAAAAGTCAGCTTATTATGAGAGTTTTTCACCAAAATTCACTTATATGAATATATATATATATATATATATATATATATTCTAATATACTTCTTGTATCTTGAGGTTTAAAAAATTGGACATGTTCAATGATACTTCTGCTAACTAAAAAAGTTTTTTGGTTCAGAAAACAAAAGTTGGCTTTTATTGAAACTATAATGTTATCGCCTGGACATGAAATGCAAATAAGGATTAGCCATAATAACCTAAAAGGAAGCCATTCAAATAGGAAAGATGGTTTCTGTGAATAACTTTATAAAGTAAAATAACACACAATTGAAGTGTTGTGTGCACGTAAACAATCTTTTACCCTCGGTGTGTGTGCACTGCTGTCCATCAGACTCTGTCTCAGCAAACCTGTCACCACCTCAAGCTCCTGCTCGGCCTCCCGAACATTCGGGTCCAGCTGGAGGACTTCCTGCAGGTCACTGCTGGCCGACAGGTAGTCCTAACACGGATATACCCACAAACAATGTTATCAGTCAAATAGATACAAACCTTTCTTATCCAATAGAACGAATGTGAGTGCTTATGGCACCTGTAAACCCTTATAAGCCAGGGCTCGTCTGTAGAAGGCTTTCTTGTTGCTTGGCTCCAGCTGCAGTGCGGAGTCACAGTCCCGTTTGGCCTCTTCAAAGTGATTCAGTTTCAGGAAGCAAATGGCTCTGGAGAAGAGGAGAAGTGTAGAAAAGAGGACATGGAGACAAAGAAAGTTATGGACTGGAGTGACTGGCCTGGTATAAAAAGACTATGAGGCCATCTCTTCTGTATTTGTTGAAATTTGGTTTATGGTTCCCAGTTATTTATGCTCCAATCTGGAAGCAGATCAGCTTTTCTGCAGAAGTAAATAAGCAATAAGCGAACTCTGTTAAATCTAATGGGAACATTTATGTTTAATATTGTACAAATGAAATAAATAAAATAGATACACCCATGTTTGCAAGATCTACTCTCTGCATGTAAATCTAAAACTACGTCCAGATCACAGTAATTATGTCATAAAATTAAAGTTAAACGGATTTCAGTCAATGATCAGATCTGTCAGTCTCAGAGCCAACATTATATTTGATAGTGCTGACAATGATAACAGCTGTAATAGACTGGAGTTGACGCGAGGATGATGTGTTCATGTGGTGCCCTCTGCTGTTTTTTCTATTATCCTGTCATTTTATCAGCCAATTTTAGAATCAGCATTATGTTACACCCTGAGCTCTGGGACAGTCCCTTTGTCTCTAACATATACGTGTTTTCATAACCACAAAGGAGATCTAAACATATCATGTCACTTAAATATCAAATCTTGAGCTGCTGCTGGATTTCAATATAGAGAGAGGGCTGCTCTTGTTTGGTGATTTGAGAAGAGCTTGGTAGTGTCTTACTTCTAAAAGACAGCAGATGTTATTACAATCCCCCAATCAATTGTACCTATAGTAGAGTGTCTATCTGTGCCTCTAAAGCACACAGTGTTTATTTCAGAGTTTAATTCGGGAGTGATTGAATATAGGAAATTCTCGCCGTTGCAAAGATCAAACAAGCGTGCTCTGCGCGTGCCAGGAAGGGTTGTTTGTTTCGTGCATACCTGTTTGTGTAGAGAGCACATTCGTCAGACTTTAGGCTGAGACATTCATTGTACTTCTGCAGAGCCTCCTGGAAGTGGCCTTTCTTGACCAGATCATTTCCTTCCCGTTTCAGTAAAGTAAAGCAGGCCTCTTTTTTTCTGACTGTTGGCAGAAATATGTGATTTAAGTACAAATTCAATACTGAAACAGGTGAAAGAAGCAACAGTTATACATATAAACTGTACATGCATATAAAAGTTTAAAATTATTTCCTGACTGGTCAAAACAACCAGACTTCCTGAACTTCCGAAACTTTTTGGAAGATTATGGATAAATTCTACGTCAGGACAGACTGTTGGATATTGTTTGTCTTTCGAGGAGGTTTCCCATCACTTTCAGCGCGCAAACTTTTTCAAGAGTGATCAATATATCCATCAGCCTGTCAGCAGCAGTCTGAACGGACACAGGGGATGACTCAACTCCTGCTTACTGGGCTCTCTGCTGTGCTGAGAAAGCCACTATACCTAATGACTTGGGGAAATGGATGGACACACACACGGATGAGAAAACTGACTTAGCAAGGCTTGAAATTCAAACTTGCCATGCACATGTAGCATAAGTTATTTTTCTTCTGGATAAGAAGTCAATAGATACCACTTTGACAGTACAAAAACTTGTCTTCAGTTACACTTTTTATCCCAAAAACTGCTCTGTAGCAGAGAAACTAAACTGATAAGCAATGAAAATGATAAGCAGTAATCTATATGACACACATCTGAGGCGGATAAAAACATGGCTTAATGTAGCACTAAAAATAAGGGAATTTAATACATAAAAAACAAGAATAACAAGAATGCTAAAGAACAAGAAAAACCCTGGTTGTTAAAGGGATAAAAATATTCATTCAATATAACATAAGTATGGAGAATACACAGTATATATTTATTTTTATTTATCAGAAATCTGAATTTTGACAGAGGTGAATCGTGAAAACAAAGATAAAATCCTACAATAAAATCAGAAGTGGTGGTACCCCCCCTGTGTTGGTGATGTCATTTTACAACAGAAAGAGTATTTTGAGTACCTAAATAATCTATTACGATCGTTTTGTCTGTTTATGGGCAATAAAAACATACGTATCAAACATGTGCAGGCAGACTAAGCTCTTTTTAAGCGACAGGAGTTTTAACAAGCATCAAGAGAGTAAGAGACTTTTTAATATCAACATGAGCAACTACATTAATGGTGGCTATTTAAAGCAGAGCACTCTCACACTAGCTTTACACAGCAAACAAACTCAGGTCTTCAGGTGTCATTGAAGGGGATCACTAAACAAAGAGCTCTAGATTGTAATATCAAGTTTAACTGTTGTGCTAGTGAATGCACATGCCGAGTCAGATCAGCATGTGAATTTTCCTTCATTTTAATTTCAAACAAAACCACCAAACCACACAGAGAAACAAGTGAATGTATCCAGTTTATAAAGAAACCATTATCTTCTGAACAGAAGCAAAGTGAATGGGAGTTGCTGTGGCTTCTTTCTCTGGTTGTATCTGGTTGTTTTAAATTATCATAATGAGACAATTGTGTTGTAGGTTTTAAAATAGGGAATTTATTAGGAACAGTATCTAATGGTTTGTTAAGGAGAGCAGATAAAATGGCATACCAGTTGTCTATGTCATTATTCTGTGTTCAACACATTCTAGGACTCATTTAGTGAATATACTTAAGGTTGTTCCCACTTTTCAATATCCCGTCGTGAACAGACGTACTACAGGTTAACCTGAATGTAACCATAAGAGTCTTACTCACAACACAACATCTATTGGACTGACTAATAATCCTGTTTTAAGACATTTATTTTTTCTGTGAAATAAAAATGATATTTCATTCAAGATTAGAGTCTGTTGCCAGCACTGCAGAAGCTGGTATGTTATGTATTTTACCCTTTAAAAGCATACAATGTTGAATATTTGCTGTGACCACACAGGATTTTACCCATAAACATGAGGTGTTAAACACTTCCCATCTGTTTCCCCAGTAACAGCAGTGTGCTATTCTGAGATTATCTCTGTTCTGTCTATGTGCTAAAGTCATTAAGTGTTTATGTATGTGCATGTGTGTGTGTGCATGTGTGTGCAGGTTGTGCGCTTTATCTGTCTAAGATTTAAATTTAAATCCTGTGTATGGACATTTTATGTCGTGCATACAAATAAAGCGCTTTATTTGCAAGTTTATGTGTGGTTTAAATATATTTGAATAAATATATGATACATGTGGAGCCTTATGGTCTGTGTGAGCAGGAGCAGCCTACAGGAAACCTGACCTGGATTGTTCCATTACAGCAGCACTACACTGTGTGGATCGCTTTCCCCTCTGCATTATTGATGATGCACCCAGATACACACACACACACAGACAGACACTTTCAGCAGCCTTCACCACTTTACACACTTATCCTCACTGACACAGAAGTGTCAGTGAGGATAAGCCTTCTGCTGCTTTACAATTCCATAATTCAAGCATTTCATTTAAATTTTTACCACAATTCATCAGGAAATATTTGAAAAGACAATAAACAATTTTGTCCAGAAAACATTAAGGCGCCAGATTCCTTTTATGACAGAAGAAGATTTGTGTTTGTAAAAGGTTTAGGGGAAAAAGTAGGACATTATAGCACATATTCAACATAACACCCTCACTAAGCTAAAAGGAAGTGATGTCACTGACCTTCCTCCTGTGCAGCCCTGGCGGCTCGAGCTTGAGCCACTTCGACGCTGATCGGTTTCTCTCTGTGATGCTGCTGCACAGACAGAGGGACGACGGGAATATCCGGAAGATTCTCTCTCCACCCAGGTCCGTCCTGTTCAATAAGCATCTTGGTGATCCTGGCAGGAGGCACAGAGAATACAACTTACAGTATGACCATGAAGGTGTAATTAGCTATATTAATGCTGCAGGGTTCGTGGGCTCCACTGAGACGAAGAGGAGATTAAAACCTTAGAGGAACTAATGGTTGAACAGCTTAATGGCAAGTGAAAAAATATACATTGTGACAGTGAGCCAGCATGCACAATACCAGGACCCTGAAACTGTAGCAGTAATAAATTATCAGTAATAATATTATTTGCACCTGTGATTTTTCTACTGTGTCCTCTGTGAAAAAGGTCTATCAAGCATCTCTTGTACTCACCCACATAGTTCAGACTAGAGGCCAGAGTAAATGAAAACACCTGTGTGGATGGACCTTGGGTGAGCGGGGCCTTTAAAATATGAATACAGCTGTTTCTCAAATCCATACTACACACTTACTCTCATGTTTTTAGTCTGTAGTGTATACAGACAAGAATAAGTCTCTGTTTATTTCTTGTGTACTAACTGCAAAACAGTATACTATAAAGATGACACTGTATACAGTTAGTATGTAGTATGGAACTGGGGGCATGGAAACACCTGCCCCAGGTTAAGGCAACACGGTCAGCATCATGGCCTTCACATCCAGGGGCTGTGTTTTTCCAGTCCCACAACTGGTAAACATGTTTCTTGCATCCAGTGAGTCGTATATACCAGTGGTTCTTTAACATAATCTGTCATTCTTCTAACCAAAGACTCCAGCGGCTGAATCCAAGAGGAGCCAGTCAGTGAACTCAGCTTCTTCAGTATTCGGCTGAATGAAAATGTGCAAATGCTTATGGCACATGATTAACAGGCTCTTTGACCATTTTTAAATGCAAGATACCAAATATACTGCATGGCATGCTGGCGGAAAAGTGTATAAAACGATGCACCTGACACCTGAATATTTTTATATGACGCTAGAAAGGCAGCCATGAAAAGAATGGTGTCTAATGTTTTAACAAAAACATCATAAAAATGATTTATCTTCAACACTTTTTACTCAACTCTAACCATGAAATCTCTAGATTTCTTGACAACTTTCAAGAAGTTACAGAAGCCACATCAAGCAGCTATAGTTTCTTATGTTTGGCTGACCTGTGGACGCTGTCGTGAGCCGCCTGCACCCCGGTGTCTATCTGCAGGACAGTCTTATAATCCACATAGGCCTTCTTGTAGCGCTCCAGTGACTCATAGGCTATAGCTCTGCGCAGCAGGGCCTTCAAGGAGTAGGGCTGCAGCTCCAAAGCCCTAAGAGGATCAGAAACACGCACAGACAGAGGATCAAGCTGTTTACACCTGCATACTGTGTCACTGGCTTAACAGGGCTGATCTGTGGCTCTCCATTCATAAACATGTGAGTATTTTACTTCAGACGGAGAGATTCCTGCAGCCGCCGGGCACCAGAAACAGTCACACAGTGTGTTCATAGTTTGTAGGATCAACTAAGAGCAAAACTAAAGCTAAATGAAAAGAAAGATTTATGGAAAAGTAGCAATAGAAGACATGGGCTGAACTTTTCAGAAATAGTTTTCAAATAAGCCCTTAGATTATTGCAGTAGGCATATGAGAACAGTTTCTTTTAGTTTTCTGTCAGTGTGAACACAACAATTACTGCCACTTTACCTCATATAAGCAGAACTGTTGAAATATTAAAAATGGAACTGAAATCTGTTTAGACAAAGGAAAATGCAATACTAGCAAACACCATCTCAAAGGGGAACTTATTTTACACATCAAAGTCTGCTTATAAGTGCTAGGAAGTACTACTGTAAATAAAGACTTTTGTAGTGGCAGAGGGAGCGGTATTAAAATCTAATTTATTGCCTCAAGGGATGTCACTTAAATCAGCATCAGTTGGGGCTGAAGACTACAAGTTTGGAAACAAACAGAAAAATCAGGAGGGGTGGAGTTAGAAAGAACTGATCTTAGCAGACCTCTGTAGCCCGCTCCTCATCTCTGATTGAGGCTTGAGGCTACATCAGCTGCTACTAGCATAACACACCTAAATCTACGACCCAGCTGGCCGCCATGAGCCCGACAATGTTATAAAAGTGCAATGCTAAATGTTTGGTTTACTCCTTAAAATCTTACGTGAAACTACCTTGAAATGACACGTCAACTAAGCACAAAGAATGTCTGCAAATGATTACACACACACATGCACAGAGTCGACTCCTGACACGTACTTGGTACAGTCCTGTATGCAGTCTGTGCTGTTTCCATCCTTCAGGTAACAGGCTGCTCTGTTGGAGTAGAGAATACACAGGTCTTCTGGACTATCAATGCCTGCAGGGGAACAACCACAACACATTTACGTGAAAGACCAGACGCTGAAAGACATCTGTGAACACACACACGCAGTTGTAAGGACAGTGGTAGTGCTTCGTATTAAGATCAGATCTTTTTGACTTTTGCTGTACTTTCTGTCTAGACCAAAGAGACATTAGGATGACAGAAAAGCTCAATTTGAAAGTTCAGACTGTCCAGAGATGCTGAGGGCGTGAATGGTAGACAGATAAATGGATGTGCTATCACTCCCTCTGGAAGAGTCATTTACTACTCTGTCCTTTCTCCTCTGAGTCTCCACTGCAGTTTCACAACCGCCCGCAGAGCATCAGTATCAGTACCCAAAACAGTGCTGATACTCCTCTCTATATGTATCCATATTAAAACACATTGTTTTCAGTGCTTTCCTTTGAGAGTCTCTCTGTTAGGTCTGACATTAAGTCAGGTCTAATCTTTTTAAGCTTGTCTCCAGCACTGCTGAAAAGGCCATCCCTCTTGCCAGCCACGAGAGTAAAAGTTGGCTGAGTGCTCTTAAAGGTGCAGCATGACATTCAATCTCACCTAAAAGCCCCGTACACAAGCACACGATTCCTGTCTACGGTCAGTGGTGTTGTCTTGTGCCAGCACTCCACCGCATTCACAAATCACCAATGACGCCTCATGACTTAGCTGCAGTGTTTGGACGTTAGACTAAAAACTTGAGATTACCAGTTCACTGCTCCACACAGGTGACAGATCTAGAAGAGTGACCTGTACTCATCCCCTGGGACAGGATGGTGAGCGCCTGCATGCTGATTTGGTGAATAGAGGAAATTTGTGCAGCATGACAAGCAAGAGCATAACGCACTCAAAATTGACATGGGATACTGTGGATTGTGGGGCCAAATTACACTTGACTTGTATCTGATACCATTATAAGGGCCGATACACAGATGATAGATGAGGCTTTCTGTCTGTCTCTGTGCCATCGATCTGTTGTTGTTTCTGTATTAGTGACTTGTTGGCCATCAGACGTTGCTTTTGAAGACTCGACTTCGAATGAAGTATTTTTACTATAAAGATTATTTTAAGTCAGTATTTAGTATGATTATTACTGCAGTTTTGATGGTATAACTGCTTAGTAAAGCTGAAACTATTAGTTGATTAATCAAGTAGTCTATCTGCAAAAATATTGACAATCAAACACCAACTTGTCATCTTTCTAAGCAAAAATGACAGAAATTCACTGATTCTAGCTCCTCAAATGGGAATTTTTGATAGTTTTCTTCATCTTCTATGACTGTAAACTGAATATCTCTTAGGTTTTGGGCTGCTAGTTGGACAAAACAAGCATTAGCCAATCTGTGCTTTAGGGAACTGAACTTAAATTAAACAATCATCAATTTACTGTAACATACATTAAACTTTCATGTAGCATGCAAATGTTGTTACCACTGGCACTGACAACGTCAAATCAGGTTATTCAAAGGTTTGTAGTGTAGGTCAGGTTTAACTATACAGAATTACCAAACACGACTGAGGGTAAAATACTCCTTTTATAACCTATATTTGTCTTTTGCCTGGGAAGAAATACTGATTCTCGCAGTAAAAACACAAACTGCTCAGATCTTCCCCACCTGCTTCAGCACACCCATCAATGGCGTGCGTGTACTTCTCCACGGCGTCCCCAAACTGCCCATGTTTGAAGAGGTGGTTCCCTTCATTCTTGAGCCGGGCCAGGTGAGGAGGAAGGGCCCCAGAAGGGACGTCCAGGTAACTTGTGTCCACTGCAGGGCTGCCTTGCTGCCCTGGTCCACCCGCAGGGCTGTTTTCCCTGCCATTGGCCACCCTCTTCTCTGAAGCTTTGTGCGTCTGGGCCTTTTCCGCGCTGCCTCCAGCCCGGCCTCTCGCCCCACTCCCGGCTGTGGCCTGATCCGATCTCCCGCCCCCTCCTCCGGCGCCCGGAGGTTTGTCCTGTGCGTTCCCCATAGCTGCACTTCCCTCTGCAGTGTCTTCGAAACTCTTCCTCCCTCACTGCCTCTCCCCTCTAGCTGCAGCTACATCTGTGCCTGGCTAGGGATTTCTGTTAGCCCCGCCCCCTGGGTGAGACGTCGCGTGTGACGTCAGCGAGGGGGGGAGGAGCCACAGAGATGCAGTGCTGCAGCAGGAGAGCCTCAGATTAGACTGGAGAGTCTGGAGTCTGGACAGACATACAGACAGAAATATATGAATGAACTCAGACACAAGGTACTTAAATGCAGACTAAGAGAAACAATGTTTGATTTATATAAACAACAGGAAAACCACCGATTGCAAACGTTGATGCTATGTTGATTTATGCGCTTTAATTGTTACGTATCAGTGAAATTACTTATTATTCTATTTTTCTTTTAATTATAGACTGAATATGCTGGGATTTCTCACTGAAGACATGTCACCGTAGGAACAGCTCAGCTGTAAATAATAAAATAATGAGGGCTGAATTCCATTTAGCTGTTTATGTCTCAGGGTTAATGTGCATGCTGCCACACTTAAATAAAATAGAGCTACTTCTTAATGTTATTAGTATGTGTGTGTGCTTTTCTTCCTATCAGTAAAAATGTCTGCTGTGAAAAAAGGCCTGCTGTTGGGCATGATAAAGAAATAGATTTGGACTCAGTCTTTATTGATTTTGTCATTTTTAGCACTTCATTAATTTATGTTAAATATGAAAATAATAATTAAATTCAGGTAAAAAGGGTCTATTAATATGTTATTTCTAGTTTAGTTTAGTTTAAAAACATCAATTAGCTGTCTGAGTCTACACTGGTTGCCTGGCAACTGCTCCGAGTCAAGAAATAGTCAGGCACATAACCCCTCCGTAAAACCGTGAATTGTTTGTACAAATTAAACAAAAAGGATATTAAGTGTTAATTACTGGTCTTCAGCATTAGGTGCTGCTAGTAGGAGATTGTTTTCTTTAGAGCCAGTCTAGCTGTTTCCATCTGTTTACAGCTTTAGGCTAATTTAAGCTAAGTGGCTGCTGACTGAGGCCTTATATTTACCAAACAAACATGAGAGTGGCATCAATCTTCTCATCTAAATGTTGGCAAATAAAAAGCTAATTTCCCCAAATGTTAAACTATTCCTTTATAGCTGTAGAGCTTCACACTGCACCTCAAAGGATGCAGAGTAACTATACTGCTGTTTCATTTAAACCTACTACAAGGAGTTTTTAAGCGGTTATTAAACCGTCTCAGTTCGATACTGATGCCACATGATACAAGAGGTCACAGGTTGAATCTGAAGGGTCTGAAGATTATTAACAGCAGAAAAACACTTTTGCAACACAAAACTGTAATTTTTTTTCACCTTCTTCCAACCTTTTTTCCTTGAAAATGAATGCATAATTCAATGCATTTGAGGCCATTTATTATCATTCAAACCAAGAAAAAGACTAATTAATTTGTGTTAAGGGATCACAAGCCAAAAAAAGAACCACTGGAATAGACCATGAACATCTTACATTAACTGAAAGATAAAAAGTGGCTAATTTTCTCCCACGAGAGCTTATGAAAGACTAAATGAACAAAAGAAAATTGTAAAAGAATAGAAATTTTACAAATTGATGTTCCTGTATTCATCCAGACGTTAACGTTCAAAGACAGAAAGGAATAAGAAAGAACTGTGAAACAGTCAAGGTCAGTGAAAATCACATTTTTAATAAACCAAAACTCGCCGCTCACAGGCAAAAAAACAGCACTGTGTTTGAGTTGACATGAAAATCATGAGTTTTAAGGGTAGTTCAGTAATCTGGCATCAAGCCTGGAGGTTTATTTACATGCTCATACAGTACAAAAATAGTACAGAACAAAATAATCAAAACTGGTGCTCTCCTCTTCTTCATCTGGCATCAAAAACGACCACTGAAATAAAAGAGTCAAGGAAATGTAGAAGAATTATAGTTCGGTTCACACATATGACTTATTATAAAAAGGCTTTTGCTATTGTATAATATTTGATTGTTCATCAAAATGAGGACTAGTATTCAATATCTATTAGTAGTTGATAGGTCTTTATGTTTTCAAGAGCTTTGTTTACGTTGGTAATGTTGGTAAATATGGGAATAATATCAATACAAAAATAATAATCTGATAAATAAACTTAGTGCTTCCTTTCCACATGAAACTGAAATTCATCAATTATGCTCGTGAATATACCTCAAATGTTGAAAAATACAAGTTTCCTGCAGTATAATATGTCGTTTGTATATCTGAGTGTGTAACAAAAATAATTTCCCCTCTGGATTATTAAAGCTTATTCTGATTCTGATTCTGTTACCCATTAAAATATAAAAAAAGTTCTCACACACACACACAATAAAGGATACATCTCTTTGTTCTCTTCTTGTACATGATCCTGTAACCGCACTCTCTGCATCGGATTGGATCGCGAGCCTTAATTTCATTTTCAGTGTGACATTCTGCAAGTAAAGACAGAAATTATATTACAGAAATAACCTTAAATAAACACAGTTTCCAACATACTTGGCATGGTACTTGTAAGCTTTGTGTTGATTGGTTGTTGATTAAAAAGAAAAGGTATAGCTTTGTTTTATTGCAATATGTTATATTTTACTTATTTTGAAGCCAATGATTTTCAGTTGCAGTAAAGAACTGCAGTTCCTCCACTATTTACATTGGCAGTCAGATTCACAAATGTTCAGTCTCTTAGTAGTATCATGTAGAAACACATCTGCTGCATTCTGGACACTATTTATATTCATTTTGTGGTATTTTGTAATCCAGTGCAGAGTAGGCAGAGCTGTATACTTAACATAATAATACAAACTCCATTCATTCATTGTATAAAACCATGCCATTTGGTCAAGGTATTCATTCACGTCCACAGAAACTAAAGAATACACATTAATGCATTTAAAAGGCAACAGTAAAGTAGTAACAGTATAAAGGTAGTGTTGTATCAGTTATACTAGGATTGTATGTCATTGGACTGTAGTACAGGCTCACAGAAATACACAAAACAGAAGTAGTTACAGCAGTACTAGACAGTAATCAACAAAAGTAGTAATAGTATTGCCAGTATACAGTAATAGATAGAGTAGCATTAGAGCATAAAGTAACGTATGGTAGCACAGTTAGCAGTAGAAAGGCTGTGGTAGCTGATTGTACTATAAACACAAACAAAAGCTAACAGTGTACCTCCACATATGTAGATCATAGGTTGCTGTTTGGGCGGTTGCACGTCTTTCGGTGGATCCATATTTGTTTTCTATAAAAGAGAAACAATGTTGACACAATCCCATCTGTGTCGTTATAGCAGGCTAACACAGAAACAGCATGGTGGTACCCAGAAACAGCCTCCACTGTCACAACCGGCGGGAGGAATTAACAACAAAGGTCGTACATAAATCTCACAATGAAGTATGAATATATAATTATGAAACACACGCGGGGGAAGGGTTAAACATAAGAGCTCTCACCGTTTTACCTGTTAGCTGTTTACCTCTCTTTTCATAGCGCACACTGCCGTCAGCGCGCATGCGTACAACCGCGTCTTCCACCTCAAAGTAAAGCGGTCTGTGATTGGTCAGGAGATACTGCGTCACATTTGACACAATTATTTCCTTTTTGACAGAAAACACTAATAAAGATGTGATCGATTATATTAGTGTTAAATATGTGTGGATTATTTATGGCAGGTTCATACGACGGAGTATTAGGGCCATACTAAGAGAACTTACGAGAATAAAGTCGTAATATTAAGATAAGATAAGATAAGATAAAATATTCCTTTATTTATATTACGAGAATAAAGTCATAATATTACAAGAATAAAGTCATGATATTACAAGAATAAAGTCGTAATATTAAGATAAGATAAGATAAGATATTCCTTTATTTATATTACGAGAATAAAGTAGTAACATTAGGCTGCTGTTTGGTTGAGCTGCTCATGTAAGTTCTTAATAACTCTATCGAAGCTTTTTTTCTCATTAAAACTACATTTTTTTCTTGTATTATTATTACATTATGCTCGTAATATCCCAAAAAATAAAATATTTTTTCCCTAAGTCTGGCCCTAACACTCCGTCGTAGTGTTCATGGCACAGACATATAAATATATAAATATATATATTATTATTATATCTGTCTATGGTTCATGGTTTCTAGGTTTGTAAGGTAGTTCTGGTTCTGGTTCTGGTGTTGGTGTTGCTCTCCGGTCCGACAGGGGGCGCTCTCTGTCTCTGTGAATCCTCTGATGAACACTCAGCTGGCCTCCACTACTTCTGACAACAACGCTCCCATCGACAATGTTCATATCTCGACTACTGGTCTCAAATCTGCCCTAACTCACCGTTAGTCCGCCGCCTTGTTATCCTCTGAAGACACACGATGGAGCCGTCTGCGCCCAAAAGGTCTGTGAACATTAGACCGATTAAAACGTGCTAATAACCAGCTAGCTGAAGGCTAACGCAGGCGGTAGCTGTGACGTTAGCTCGGCTAGCTGATGCTAACTTGGTTAGCTTCACAGGATTTCTGTCAAACTTTATCCTCGCTGTGGAGGAGTAAGTTGACGGTTTTAGAGGCCAATCTTGGATAAAATCATCGGTAATATGTTAACGCTGACAGAGGCTTACTAGTCTGGTTCGTTGTAACTAAACTGTTCATGTTAACCTCGTTGGAGCCTTTTATGGAGCATTTTTAATCAACGTTATTTCGACACACACGTGATTAATTCACTGAAACAATCTTATAGCTCCCTGTTAAACCGACCAGTGTCCTCTGCTACTCTTCCATTCATTGGTGCCATGGTGATTACATGTGTACACGGGTTGTCTTGCCAACACCACAGGAGCTGAT